CCTCCCCCTTTTCCCTTCCTTTGAAGTCCCCGTTCTTATCCCCCTCCGCCTCCCCTTTTCCCCCCGTGAACCCCAAAATCCCTCTGCTCGTCCCCTTTTCCTTCGCTTTTCCCTCTCCAAACCCCAAATCTCCCTGGCTAAGTCCCCCTTCTTATCCCCCTCCGCCTCCCCTTTTCCCCCCGTGAACCCCAAAATCCCTCTGCTCGTCCCCTTTTCCTTCGCTTTTCCCTCTCCAAACCCCAAATCTCCCTGGCTGTCCTCTTCTCCTCCCCTTTTCCCCCGTGAATCCCCAAATCCCCCGGACTGATCCCCCTCTCCTTCCCTTTTCCCCCCGTGAACCCCAAAATCCTCCTGCTCGCCCCCTTTTCCTTCCCTTTTCCCTCTCCAAACCCCAAATCCCGCTGCTTGTCCCTTTTTTCCTTCTCTTTTTTCCCTCTCCACTCCCTACAATCCCCCTGCCCGATTTCCCAATTTATCCCTTTTTTCCTTCCCTTTTTCCCTCCCCGAACCCCCAAAATCCCCCAAATCCCCCCCAAATCCCCGGGCTCTTCTTTCCCCCCCTCTCCCCTCCCCATCCCGGCGCTGCTGGGATCCCGGGGATGCCATAAAATCCAGAAAATCCAGAAAATCCATAAAATCCAGCAAATCCAGCGCCTGCCGCCCGCAGCCACCGGCTCTGTTATTTTTGGAAGCTCCCAGCGCTGGGAACGGAGGAATTTGACCCAAAATTCGCCGTCCTGGCGCGGCCCGAGCGTCTCGGCGTGCCGGGCTCGGCTCCGCGGCCCCTCCCTCGCTTCGCTCCGCCTGGGGGGGATTGCTTTTATTTCTGTTTCTATTTTTATTTTTGGTTTTATTTTAATTTTTATATTTTTTTATTTTTATATTTTTATATTTTTATTTTTTATATTTTCCCGCTGTCCCCCCTGTCCCCCCTGTCTCCTCTGTCCCCTCTGTCCCCCCAGTCCCGGTGACCCTGTCCCCTCTGTCCCCTCTGTCGCCCCTGTCCCCGCTGTCCCCGCTGTCCTCTCGTGTTCCCCCTCATGTCCCCGCTGTCCCCTCGTGTCCCGCTGTCCCCCGGGTGTCCCCTCTGTCCGTGGGTGTCCCCGCTGTCCCCGCTGTCCCCGCTGTCCCCGCTGTCCCCGCAGTCCCGGTGACGCTGTCCCCCGGGTGTCCCCTCTGTCCGTGGGTGTCCCCGCTGTCCCCGCTGTCCCCGCTGTCCCCGCTGTCCCCGCTGTCCCCGCTGTCCCCGCTGTCCCCGCTGTCCCCGCTGTCCCCGCTGTCCCCGCTGTCCCCGCTGTCCCCGCAGTCCCGGTGACGCTGTCCCCCGGGCCAGGCTGGGCGGCGGGCGCTGGTGGCAGCGGTGACATCAGGCCGGACGTGCTGGTGTCGCTGGCGGCCCCCAAGGCGGTGGCGCGGCGCTTCCAGGGACGGCGACATTTCCTGGCGGGGCGCTTCGTGCCCGAGGAGCTGCGGCGGAAATTCGGGATCGGCCCCCGCCAGTACCCGGGCAGCGACTGCGTGGTGGCCCTGTGACCCCAAAACTGCCCCGGGACCCCGAAATAAACCCCTGGGACCCCAAAACTGCCCCGGGACCCCAGAACTGCCCTGGGACCCCAAAACTGACCTGTCACCCCGAAATAAACCCCTGGGACCCCAAAACTGCCCCGGGACCCCAGAACTGCCCTGGGACCCCCAAACTGCCTCGGGACCCCGAAATAAACCCCTGGGACCCCAAAACATACCTGAGACCCCAAAGAAACCCCTGTGACCCCCAAATAAACCTCTGGGACCCCGGAACTGCCCCGGGACTCCAGAACTGCCCCGGGACCCCAAAATAAAGCCCTGGTGGTGGCCCTGGGACCCCCAAATAAACCCCTGGGACCCGAAACTGCCCCGGGACCCCGAAACTGCCCCGGGACCCCAAATAATCCCCTGGGACCCCGAAACTGCCCCGGAACCCCAAAATAAACCCCTGGGACCCCAAAACTGCCTGTGACCCCAAAATAAACACCTGGGACCCGAAAAATAAACCCCTGGGGCCCCAAAACCCCTGGGACCCCAAAGAAACACTCTGTCGGCTCTGGAACCCCAAATAAAGCCGTGGTGGCCTTGAGACCCCAAAAATAAAGTGGTGGTGGCCCCCAAAACAAACACCTGGTGGCCTTGGGATCCCCCAAACGCAGCGCCGGTGGCCCTGGGACCCCCGAAATAAATCCCTGGTGGCCCTGGGACCCCCGAAATAAATCCCTGGTGGCCCTGGGACCCCCGAAATAAATCCCTGGTGGCGCTGGGACCCCCTGAGCGGGGGCTGCTTGGACGTGGGGACAGTGGGGGACACTTGGGGACTTGTCCTGACACTCACTTCAAGGTTGGGGTCCTGGCCTGACCCCCCCCACCCAGGCAGTGCCACCACCCCTCTGCTGGGGACAGAGCCGTGTCACCTCCCCTGCCACCCACCCACGGCGACAGTGTCACCCAAAAGTCACCAAAACGTCACCAAATGCCACCAAGACCCAGGAAAGGGACACGGGAGCCACCCCCAGAGCACGGGGGTGTCCCTGAGGGTGACGAGCCACCCCCG